ATCTGAGACCTGATTTTTAAAACAGTTTGGTTTGTAGTAATGTTGGAACTGAATTTAAGACATTGATGATATTTCTAAGTGTTCTATAGTCTAGAAAACTGAGGGTTAAAAGTTCTCCGCTTCTGATCAGCTCAGCTTCACATGTCATGTTGTTGATGTACACATAAATAAAGCAAGAAAATAAAAAACCTTGAGATTATTTTCTACAGTATCTAAAGAGATTGTGACTGATAATAAGTTTACATCTGCAAACATTCTATTATTGCTGCAGGTCGCTACAAGTGCTGACATATAGTCAGTCTGTGTGACACAGATTAACAACACAATCCAGGTCACAAAGAACAACGCTCGTTTTACTCTCATTTTTCGCACAAAAGAACAACATGGTGATCGTTTATCAGCTCCAGGTTTTTACAAGATATAAAATGTGATTGTTTAAGCTACATGTTAGCGTGGGGTGGAAAGAAGAAGGTTAAAAATGAGCCATGTGTGAAGCGGTGATGTTGAGGTACCATGCATCGAGAGAGTGTTCACAGCGCTTCACTTGCTCCACGTTTTGTCATGTTACATGTTATTCCAGAATGATTCATTTTCTTTTCATCTCAAAATTAATGTAAAAAAAAAAAAACATAATGACAAAGTCTTGATGCATTCTCAATCATCCAGGAAAATAAATCTCCAAAAGTTGATTCTGTTCATCTGGACGTAGCGTTTTCTGGGACGTAGCACTGTCCAGATGAACAGAATCAACTTTTGGAGATAATGACAAAGTGAAAAATATTTTGTTTTCTATTCTTGAAAATATATTGAAAATTAAAAAATGATCATGATGTCATCACCCCATGAAATGTTGAGCTGAGCCTATATTGATGTCTGAGCTCTTTTCTTTACAGCTCATTGGTTTGGCTTGTTGCTCTCACTCTCCCGGTTTGTTTGTTTGGATCGTTGACTCTCCAGGATGCCTTTCTCACGTGGGCCCGAAAAGTCTTACAGAGGAAAAAGTAAACAAGAGGGTCCAGGCAGACGTTGAAAA